ATGGGTTTATGTTTACGTGGCGCGATGCAATGCGTAAAAAGACAGTTATAATCCGTAATTATGTCCCCACTGGATGCAACAAATGCTTCGTTTGTAATGGGTTTTCATGTTTTTGTCTCATCGCTCCGGCCGGGACAAGGCATCACAGTATGGTAAGGGGCGTAACATTTCTGTCACACGCTTGAGGTATTCGGCCAATCACAATGCACTGGATAGCTGACCAATCAGAGCACACCTCACTTTTCAGACCGATGAGCTTTGTAAAAATCGACGCGTTTCAGAAAGGCGGGGCAAAAAGGAGAAACAATAATGTACAGTATGTGGAAAATAATGAATTTATTTAACTTTAAACACCTTAAACACATTTCATTACACCAAATACACAAAATAATGTTATTTTTAGCAACATCATATGGCCCCTTTAATATAGTATTTTTGTTTAATGTATATTAATACATTTTTGCACAAACTCAGTTTGAGATCAAATAATATTTGGTGGGTCACTTGAGGTACTGCTGCATCGGAATGCACCTGGTTTAATAAGCTATTAACAAACATTACAACACAGGTCTGAATTTCAATTTGTTTATAATATAATCCCAAATATAATTAATAAAATACTGTTAAAAAGTTTGGGGTCTAAAATATTTTTGAATGTTTTTGAAATAAGTCTCTTGCTCACCAAGGCTGCATTTATTTGATCAAAAATACTGTACAAAACAGTAATATTGTGAAATATTATTACAATTTAAAATAACTTTTTTTTAATTTAAATATATATTTTATAATGTAATTTATTCCTGTAATGGCAAAGCTGAATTTTCAGCAGTCATTACTCCAATCTTCAGTGTCACATGATCCTTCAGAAATCATGCTGATATGCTGAACAGTTGTGCTGCTTAATATTTTTGTGGAAACTGTGAGTGCAGTTTTTTGGTTTCTATGATAAAAACATTATAAATGTCTTTACTGGCAATCTAATGTGTCCTTTAGGGGTGTGCGATATTTATCATCAACGATAATATAGTATATTGCAAAAACCAAACCAAACACACCTACAGAGTGCACGTGTACGTGTAAGTCTAGTAGGTTAGACTAGTGCGTGTGCACATTTAGAGTGTGTTCTTTCACTGCATGATTCAGTTAAATTAAAATGCATTTAGGATGATCACAAAATTCAAGATATGGTGGCAGAAAATGTATACATTTATATCATTTCATAAAGTTAACCAATATCACACGAAACATGCCGTTTTTTCTCTACAAAAATCAGCACGATTAGAAATGGGATAGTGATTTTATACAACGGTTCAATAAAGAAGTTAGTATTAAGAGACCACATTGCCTGTTTTTGCTCTATTTCGCCAACAAAAATTATTCCAAACAAAGCCAAAGCACTATATATATATATATATATATGTGTATATGTATATATGCTTCTAAGCAAGCAAGACTGCACTCAGACCTAATAACACACACACACAGGACTACAAAATGTAATTGTGGTCCATCAGATTAAAAAACTGAACATAACCAATGATCTGAAAGATAATATTATGTATAATATTACAGGAAAGCTCTTTTCATGTGGTAATCAAAATGACCACAGCTGATCACAGTTCAAGTCAGATGGCTTTGTGTGCTATTGAGAAGGTGATTAGCTACACCTGATTGAGTTCACAAGTCATTTTTAGAAGGGGGTGGTCCTTTTTCCAACTTTTTTTTATTTATTTATTATTTTCGGACAGGTTGGTGTTATATCTTTCACTTGGATGTTATAAGTTGCACTGAGTAAATACAGTTGGATAAATCAAAAACTGTGTCTGTCTTTATTTCAGGCTGCAAAGCAACAAAATGTGATTATTTTAAAGGGGGCTGATTCTTTTTTATACCCGCTGTATAAATACAATTTTGGGGTTGGTAAGATTGTTTTTAATGCTTTAGAAAGAAATCTCACAAATCCTGCATTTATTTGATCAAAAATACAATAAAAACAATATTATTGTGAAATATTTAAAAAGACTATATTTTTATATTTTAAAAAGTCTTTTCTCATAGAAAAAATATTTAAAAATGTAATTTATTCCTGTGATGCAAAGTTGAATTTTCAGCATCATTACTCCAGTCTTCAGTGTCACACAATCCTTCAGAAACCATTCTAATATGTTGATTTGATGCTCAAGAAACATTTCTTATTATTGTCAATGTTGAAAACAGTGTTGTGCTTTTTTCAGGATTCTTTGATGAACAGAAATTAGAAAAGAAAATCAGAAACCTTTTGTAACATTATACATGTCTTTACTGTCACATTTGATAAATGTAATGGATCAATGCTCAATAAATGTATTTCTTTAATTAAATACTTTTCTTTTAAAAAATGTTATTGACCCCAAGGTATAGACAGTCTGGGTAAGGGTGCAAAAAACCTACTTCAATATTTTATTGGTTTGATCAATGTTAGAAAATTTCCCTCACAGATCTCCACTGAATATGTAGGATTTATTCACACTACACTCAAATTCAATTTACCTTTAAAATCAGAGCTTTGGGACTGACTGCACGCACCATCATTCTGTAAATTATGAAATGCGATTCATTTGTTTAGACAGTGCTGTCTGAACATCTCTGATGTATCTTATACAGTGCAGTGATGTAGGCGTCAACAAGATGCCAAGAGACCTTCTGATATACACCTGAGAGTCGTGGGAAGAGAGGACTGAATTTCTATCATGACATCTTTGTTGTAGTGATGAACTTACAAGGTGCATGAGATTACAAGAGACAGAGACATTTTATGCATTCATGCATATGCTGTGTCCAAAACAGCTGACTTGTTCATTCATTCACTACAAACTACTGTACATTGTGGAAGTCCCACAGTAAACTGAATGAAAATTAGCATACTGTACACCTAGAATGATGTATACGCGTCATATCCCAAAAAAACGCAAAATGCACATATTCAAAATAATTTCATTTTAAATCAGATTTTAAACTATGGAAACTAATTTCACACTTTGTTAAATAATAATTATTAGATAATTATGACATAAAAAGTCATAAATATGCCATAAAAAGTTACACTTTTTTCATCTAATTTCAACAGTCAATTATGACTGTCATATAATATTTATCAGAAATGGGCTTCCATACAAAGCACATATATTACTGCATATTACATTAGAATATATATATATATATATATATATATATATATATATAACTTAAATGATTTTAGCAAATGGCTGCAATATAACAAAGAGTGAAAAATTTAAGGGGGTCTGAATACTTTCCGTACCCACTGTATATATATATATATATCTTTATTTGTTAACACTGCTACTAGCGTTCGCATCTGGTTAAATGATTACACTAAAACTCTAAGGTTTATGTATTTAAACTTATTACACAATTCTCGAATACGTGATTCTGATAGGTCAGTCGCAACATAACACCGAATATCACACCGCTCATCCGGTTATTTTGTGCCAGCGCATCTTTCACATTTCTTATATCACACTGCTGTGATCTCTCTAGTTTCATTCAAACACAACTGCTATCATCTTGTGCCTGTATTTACTGTAAAATGAAACCAGAAGACTTCAGTATTAATAGTAGGCTTACTGTAACGTTATTATAGAAGTGTTTGTCTTGTTGACAGAATGATTGTTTTGTACACTGTAATGGATTTAAGATAATAAACAGGTAAGACTTTAAAACGCTTTCTTCTCACCTAAAGTTTTATTATGTCCTCGTCTTTATTTTTGTGCTGAAAAGTTGTCTAGTTAGTGATACATTATGCCTTCAATGTCTGTCTTGTCTGAAATGCGTCTAGGCTCAAAGCCATTTGTGAAGCTTGCGTTTAAAGAGCTAATAAAATATTTTAACTCAAATCAATATTCTGATTATTTACTTATGTGGTAAATAGCTTCGCATCGGGGTCCTGATCATCCTGTCGGAGTTTATTCTGCGATAACAACCGGCTGGATGTACATTATCGCTTACTTAAAAATGACACATTTAAACTTACAAATCTAGATTCAAACTTCAAATTCAAACTACTACTACTACTACTACTACTAATAATAATAAGAAGAAGAATAATACATTTTTTTTTTTTTTTACTTGTGCAGGCCAGTGAGATTGATCTGATCCATTATGCCTTCAATGTCTGTCTTGTCTGAAATGCGTCTAGGCTCAAAGCCATTTGTGAAGCTTGCGTTTAAAGAGCTAATAAAATATTTTAACTCAAATCAATATTCTGATTATTTACTTATGTGGTAAATAGCTTCGCATCGGGGTCCTGATCATCCTGTCGGAGTTTATTCTGCGATAACAACCGGCTGGATGTACATTATCGCTTACTTAAAAATGACACATTTAAACTTACAAATCTAGATTCAAACTTCAAATTCAAACTACTACTACTACTACTACTACTACTACTAATAATAATAATAAGAAGAAGAATAATAAATTTTTTTTTTTTTTTTACTTGTGCAGGCCAGTGAGATTGATCTGATCCTCCTGTCATAGAATTGAATGTAAGATGAAGTCTTCAGATACAATTAATGCTTCCTTAGCTGAAGGTAATACATCACTGACCCTTTCGAATGCCTCAGAACACAGGCCGATTCACAGCGACAGCTACACCCCCACCTGCGCACGCTAGCACAAGCTCTTCAGCCATGACATCCTTTTGATTCTGCAGCTATTAGAGACAATCTGTGTGCCCAGGCATCTCATTATCCATCATCTTCATGAAGCCAGTCTATTTTCATCCCTTATTGGAACTGCCGAAACATATAATACAGCATTGCACACTGCACACCATATGCCACCCTCTCTAACTCGTTCATTTCTTAGATTCTCTCTTTTTTGTCTCTACCTTTCTTACTCTGACATCTTTCTTCCCCTCTCTTCCCAGCATATGTTCATCCCTGAGAGCACGCAGCACATTTATGAAATGAAGAGAGACACCGAAGTAAGGCTAACACAAGTCAACGATAGCCTGAAGGTGAAATGTATTCACAGGTTAAAAAAGTGGGACATTGCTCGACAAACTTTCATTTCATTTCACTGAACAGGACAAATATTAATTCCTAGGATATTTCTACTGTGATGTAGTGAGTAGTAGTAAAAAACATTCCTTTATCAACATCCGCCACTGATTATGAAACAATAAATCGTGTTCAATGAATCATGAGCATTAGTGCACAAAAATGTAAACAAGAAGTAAAAGAAATGTTGCTTTGAATCAGTGTTGTACCTGGACAGGGGACGAAACAGGGCTGCTGCAGTTCCTGCTCGCTTTCCTTTCTCACCCGGTCTCCACATTTCTCGTCCTCTACCGTTTTCGAAGGGAAGGAGTTGTCCGGCCAGTCTGACCAGTGCACCACACACGTCAGGTTCCTCTCCCTCTTGCCCTCTCCACATTCTGCCCCCTGCACAAAACCACACGGCTGACTCATTAATCTGGACGAGCTGTGAGCAGTGAGGCAGAGGAGCTTATTACAGTGACACCTCTCTCTGGATGACTGACAGCTGGGATTGAAACATGCATTTCTCATGAATGTGAGTATTTGACCTGATCACACAGCTGAGCTTTCAACTATCACAGCAAAAAATTTTATCAGTATTTTTGTCCTATTTGCCAATAAAAATATCTAAACATCCTAAAATAAAAAAACACACACAATATTGCATAAGATATTTGTTTTCAGAGACCTTTTGTAATTATATCTATTTTTTTGTTAAATTAAAATTAAAATTAATAATTTAACATTTTTAAAGATGCTTTTGTTTAGTTGCAAGTATAAATCTAACAAACTTCTGTGATAGTTAACCCAAAAATTAAAATTCTGTCATCATTTACTCAGCCTCAAGTTGTTCCAAACCTTTAAGTTTCTTTCTTCTGTTCAACACAAAAGAAGATATTTTGAAGAATGTTGGTAACCAAACAGTTGATGGTAGACTATGCCTTCAACAGTATTTCTATACTATATTAGTTAATAGCTACCATCAACTGTTTGGATAAGAACATTCTTGAAAATAAAGGGTGAGTAAATGACAATTTTCATTTTTGGGTGAACTATCCCTTTAATGCCTTAAATTCTTGTCATAAACAAATTTTGCCTAAAGCTAAAGTTTGCTAAAGTCTAAAATACATTATCTTAATCAGCTCAGCCAATGGTACGAGTTTGGGGTGTGGCTACTGTGGCAGGCTGAGCCAGAGGGTGTTTAGCTGGTGTGGGACCACAGCTGACACGTGATATTGAAAAGAAATTCAGATTCGGTTACAGAAGTGCAGTGTTTGGGTTTCAATTGAGACAATGAACCTGCACGGTTTCTTCTCCACAGGTAAGCTAAACCTACATTTTTGTCACACATTGGGTCTTAACTGTCAAGCCCCAGATAAAATAATAAGATATTGTAAGAATAATAATCATTATAAGGGCATGATGAGTCAAGTGGAAGGGGCATTTGCAAATAGGTGACACTATTAGTGCAGAAACTGTATACTTCACCTTTAATTAATTATATAACAAATAATTAAAATACTGATATATATATATATATATATATACACTTTTTGCAGTTTTCACTTTTTCTTCACTCTTCCATGAAGTTCATGGACTGTTTAACCTCAATATCACATTTCTTCCTGTTGTTATTGCATGTGTTACAAATTTTCTTTTTCAATTAAACATCATTTGCCTTGCAAATGTTAACTATGAAAATTGCATCTTTTCAGATTTTTGGTTTAGCATGTCTCTAGAATTGTATGTAATAACACAAGCTACAACTAAAAGTACCGATGTCGGTACCAGTCGGTACTAACATTTTTATAATGTGACGATACCAATATTTCCAGCCATTGTGTTCTCGTGCTCAACAGATATGTCTGTGATTGGCTACAATGACCATCGCTTCACACTCTTCACCGAGCGCTTACACAGATATATGCTCATAGATGGATCCGCTGATAGACGTGGCTGACTCACACATATCACAGAATTGTGTTAATGTTTATGAATAGAAAAGTGTCCAACACACCAAGCACCAAAGAAAGCACAAATATATGTTAAAAGTGTGCAACGTTTCTTTTGTTCATATTATGAGGAGGACAGCTTTTGATCTGGCCAAGCATGACTCCAGGGATGTGTGCAAAACCCCAAGACATACAATTAAAATCCTTTGCAGATACAAAGGAGAGAGGAGAGAAAAGCAGAAGAGAGGAGATGAAAATCTGAACTCTGCCACTGTTCTCCTCTAATGATAAGACTGTGGATCGCAGCATAATTTTAATCAGCAGTTACCTCACGTCTCAATGACACAAAGTCCCTCTCTCCCACACACAAACTCGGCATGTGTGCAATTTCTACAAAATTCAATTAAAGAACTCAAGTGTTGTGCCAGTAACAGACAGGTATGCCGGGCGGCTGGTCTCAACACCACTTGGTCATATGAAACATGGATTGAATGCCCTCAGGTTAGGTGATGTGCAATAACCAGTAACTGCAGAATACATGCAGATCCAATTATTTTTGCCCAGAATCTACCTCCACTGTGCAGGGAGACCAATCGCTCAGAAGCCACGTGTAGCAGGGGCTGATGGGACAGGGTTTGGTCAGGGAAAGCTGAGAGGCGCACGGGCGTCCCTCTTCATGAGCTTGCTGAAGCATGCTGCGAGAGCGAATCATAACACCTGCAACAGAGATGTACGTGAAGAGACATCTGTGAATGCACTGTATGAAAATATGGCAAACAGCAGATAATGGGCTAAAAATACATCAAGCCTGCATTAGAGTCTCTAGCAGCTTGGGACAATGATGTGGATTCATGTATTATTCACACGTATAGTTGCAATATTTATAAACTGTACAATTCAGGAATAGACAGAAACAGTCATCTGAGATGGCTCAAGATCATCTTACACCAGTATGAATTTCATGTTGATCCAGGCCAGTTTAGGCATGTTTAAAACTATGATCATCTAAACTTATTAAATTATTATTATATTTATTATAAAAAATAAATTATTTAATATTTATTTCATAAAATAAATATACCTTTTTAGTGTATTTGATAGATGTCAGTGCATATCAAGGAGACCGTGCCAGTAATGAACCAATTTAAATGAACCATTTACACTGATTCTGAGCTGTAAGACCTAAAAAGGATTTCTTATCCAGTGGCTCTCTGTGGTGGACAACAAGCTGCTGCTGCATAAAACACTTTCACAAAAGAATGAGATTAAACACAATTAAAAAACTAAGACATGGTGGAAATAAAAAACTAAACAAAAAAAAAAACAAATGACTCCTCCTGTGATGTATATATGCCCACTGTTAGACATTGTTAATGAACAAGTTAAGTAAACTAATGAGAAAGGTTTTTCTACAAGTCCACGGGCCCAAAATTGTCCATATGTGAAGAAACACCAGTAAACAAAAATGAGAGTTACACAAAGATTTTGAGTGATTCATGACTTTAATTTCTTTCTGTTTCTCACACACATCTATCATATGACAGAAGACTTGGTAATCTACACAGCGCACAATGATACTTATTTGCTCTTTTCGGAGCTTGACAGCACTTGGTCTTCATTCACTTTCAATGTATGGAAAAGAGCAGCTTGGACATTTTGCAAAACGTCTTCTTTTGTGTTCCACAGAAGAACGAATGACATGAGGGTGAGTAAATGATGAACAATTTTACACAGCAGGGACATATAGAAGTTCACTGCATATAGCAGGTCTAGGCCTGCCTAACCACACATTAGAGTTAACAACGTCCTAAATTAACATGGAAACTGACAGCACTGAAGTTTAGGCCAAGCTTTTCAGAAGAATACAGTTTTGGGGCTATCACTCCATTCACCCAAATACTGAAGAAAAAAAAAGGGAAAATACAGACCCTTCATAATTGTATAACTGAACTGAACTGCACTCCAGTGAGTTTAACTGTAAAGAGCCCTCCTTCCAGTCGAGCATTAAACATTTAACAAGAAGAGAAAAAAAAATGAAATTACATTCACAGCACAACATAACTGCTCATCAAATTCATGTTTTGTGCTGCCTGCAAGAGCCGCCTCTACAGCTGGCTGCTTCAAGCATGTCATTCATTAAAACAGAAGCACTCCGGCCAGATGAGGGAGCCTTTAAAACGACGTGATTTGACAGAGGAAATATCTCTACTTGATCCTGTAGGAAGATGGAGGAGGGTTGCGGGGAAATAGATAGAAAAGAGGGCTAGAATGAAGAAAGAAAAAGGGGAAAGCACAGAGTTCTTTGGGTTTCCTGAGCTCCACTTCCAGATGCATTAAAACTCTGTGCATATATACAACACATAATGAACCCCAATCTCTCGGTCTCCAGTGAGGTGTGCAAGAGACAACACTGCTTTGACACAGACAAGAAACGTCCTTTTTACAGCCAGCACAGCTTGCTTTTATTTCTACACCTGTGTATGTAACCGAAAACATGCTGAGAACTTCCTGTTTGCATAGCCTGAAGAACTCCCTTTTGGATTTAAAAAGTAAACTGCCTGGCCGAGATAGAAAAGCTGATGGCTGAATGAAAATTAATGAAGATTGTGTTGAACGTGCCTAATTAGGAGAAAAACAAGCTGAACTCCTAAGGAGCTGGGTCATTTGAACCATAGGGACCCGGGCTGCTCTTAAGGCTAGTAATTAGCACATTTTATACTGCATGAAGCAATAACACCGTTCCATCAGGCAAACAGG